CATTAGCTTGGCCAAATTTGGAAAGTGAATAATACTAAGTGTAGGCTAAGATGTAGGAAAACAGGAAACTTCAGGCACTATTGGTGGAGAGTAATCTGGCTGTACTGAGTGAAATTAAGTATATGTATATACTGTGACCCAACAGTCCCACAGTGGGTACATCCCACAGGAATCCCCCACTGGTCCAGTAGGGAATGGTAAGGATGTCACTGTGGCTTTATTGGTGGTAGTGGGAAGTTGATGGCAATCTAAGTGTCCATCTCTAAGGGAATGGATTAAATTAATGTTATGGCTATCCACTGTGGAAGACCACCCAGCATTTAGAAATATCAAACCAGGCGTACATTCAGCAACATGGACAGATTTTACAAGCATAGTGTTGAGTGAAAATGTGATAAACAGAACAAGTGAAAATTAAAAGCACAGACAAAGTAGATCAGTGGTTGCTAAAGGCTGGGTCAGGGGAAGAGAAGCATGCTAATGGGTAAGGGTCTCTTTTGGGGGTGCCTGAAAATATTCTAGAATTAGGAAGTGATGACGGCTGCACAACTTTATGAATATACTAAAAACCACTGAAATGTATAGCTTAAAAGGGTGAATTTTATGGTATGTGAATCATGTTGCAATAAAAGAAAAAATACACACAAACCAATATTGTATACTTGTTTTAAGGACATATCAAAAAGTTGGAATGGCTGCCTGAAAGGGGAGGGGATGGGATTGGGATTAGGATGGAGTGGAGGAGGCCTTTTCAAAGCCCATGGACTGAGGAAGATGATTAACTCAATCCTTTGTGCCTGTGATAAAACCAACCAATAAACAACAATAACAACAGAGTATGGGGGTGGGGAGAAAAAAAGGAAAAACATGTTCACAAATAGTTTTAATGAGGGAAACCATGCTATAATGATGAATGAAAAGAAATAGAATACAACAGTTTTAGGAATATTATATGTGCAACTATGTAAGATGATGTATGTAAATGGGCAAAAATATGACAGGTAGCTATAGTACAGTATCATGTAAAATTGTGGGGTATAGTGGCAGTGCTTCTGCCACTGGTTGCATAATCTTGGCCACCATGGTACTTAATCTCTCTGTAGCTTAGCTTCCTCATATCAAGTGAAAATAATAATAACACGTACTTCCAAAAGTTCTTATGAGAATTAAATGAGTTGATTTATGCCTAATACGTAGTAAACCTTATGTAAGGGTTAGCTGGCATTATTTTCTTAACTTTAAACTATAGTCTCTGGATTCAGACTGTGTATCCAACTGAGCTCCACTACCCACCAGCAACGTGACTTTCACAAAGTTACCTATTGTGAGCCTCAGTTTTCTCATCTATTGTGAGGATTAAAAGGGATAATATACTTGGCACATAATAAAGCACTTGATAAATGTCAACAGGTTATATTATTAGGGATATTATTAATACATTGTCATAGTTTTAAAAGTATTACAAAAAAGAATAGAAGGTACAAAATATATTTTTCATGTTCTTCCTAATGTATAAATTCTTCCATTTTCATTTCATTTCATTTTGGGAATAGTCTGCCCAGACCTTCCTCTTTGTCCTCAGGTTATATACTTGCATGGCACTTTGACATCTCTTTCATGGGAGTAATTAATTAATTAGATAGGTAAGCAGTTTCCGGTTCACGTCTGTCGTCCTCAGTGGAATCTAAACTCAGTGATGGCAAGGATGGTATCTGTCTATGTACAACATCTAGCACAGGGCCTAGCCCTTTGTTGACTAACAAGTATTTATTGATGAATGAACAGGTAATGAAATAAACAAAAGCATTTAAATACATACGTTCTGAAATAGCAGAGTCATGAGATTAAAGGCAAGTGTCATTTCCTTCATCTCTCTGGGAAGTGAGGAGTTGCTCATTTTGTAAGATAGGAAGATAGTCAACATTCAGATTCTGGGGAGCTGTTTTTGGCAGCTCTTCCTTACTAGAATCACACTGCTTGAACCTGTCCCCAGGAATCCTTTCAGCTACAGTAGAGCTTTGGAAACCCAGTACTTTTCCAGATTAACTCCTGTTCAGAAAAGGAAAAGTACTCAGTCTCTCTAGATTATCTTCACCTGGTGTACATTAGTCCTTACTCACTGTCTCATGAAAGGGTAGGGACTTAAAACTGTCTTTCATTTCACAGATAAGAAAGTGGGTCCAGAAAAGTGAGTTGAAAGCCTAACATTGTTAATAATAGAGCTGGTATAACTAGAAATGATATCATCCTTACAGTTCTCTCTCTGTCAATATAATATATCCAATAATGTAACAGCATCAGTCATTAAAAATTATGTTTATGAAAGAATTTTTATTACATTAGGGAAAATGTTCTTGATATGTTAAGTGACAGAAGCAGACTAAACTTGTATGCATAATATGTATTCAATTATATATGTGTGTGTGTTTCTCGGTTATCTATGTAGAAGATAAAAAAGGAAATGTGTCAAAATATTAACAGTGTTTATCTCTGGTTGGTGGGGTTATAGTTTATTTTTATGTAAGCTTTTCTGCATTAAAACTTTATTTTCAATAAGAATGTAATACTTTATATCAGAAATTTAGGCTTTTAAATTCCTAATTGAATATTTTTGAAAGCTTCTGTTTTGGTACAGATCAACCCCGTGGAGTGAGGGAGCATAAACCTAGAGTCCAAAGAAGTTTTACGGGTCATTTCACCTGATCTGTAAAATGGTTATTATTATATCTACTTCACAGGGCTCTGTGTGTGTATATGAAGCAATAGATATGAAATCCCTTTGTAACTCTAAAGCTTGATAAAGGTGTTAGGTTGATAAAGATCCTTTATCATCCTTGATAAAGGATGATTAAGTCCTGTGACCAAAAAGAGGTGGGAGGGCTTCCCTGGTGGCGCAGTGGTTGAGAGTCTGACTGCTGATGCAGGGGACACGGGTTCGTGCCCCAGTCCGGGAAGATTCCACATGCCGCGGAGCGGCTGGGCCCGTGGGCCATGGCCGCTAAGCCTGCACATCCGGAGCCTGTGCTCCGCAGCAGGAGAGGCCCCAGCAGTGAAAGGCCCGCGTACCGCAAAAAAAAAAAAAAAAAAAAAAAAAACAGGTGGGAGAACCCTTAGGATAACAGGTACCTTTGTGCTGAGGAGCTTAGGCTGGGAGAGGAGAGAGATCTAAGTGTCAGGACAAAAGTGAGAATATTTTTTTGCCAATACTTAACAGAAACAATCACATGCCTGACACCTCTTCACTCTTTCCCCTACATTTCCAATAAATGCCTCAATGTTCCCTCTCTAGATTAAACCTTCCTTCCATCTCTTAAGCAGCCCATGCAAGAGGCAACTTGTAGTGCACAAGATCTGGTGTATTTTAAGGCAGTGGCAGGTTTGTTTCACACTCCTGTCAGAAAGTGTGAAAGGCAGCCTATGTGAGCAGCAACCCAGTAAGGCCTGTTTAGTCTCAAACTAGGAAGGGGCTATTTCCACTCTGGATGATAAGAGTTTGTTATGAAAAGAAGGTAACTTTTAGCTGGGACCATTTGTATTGAGCTTTATCCTTTGCAAGTCTTTCTCAGTCAATATCTTTGGAGTTCTATGAAAAATAAGATTTCACATATGATTTTTTTCTAATTAGAGATGTCAAAGGTAGTATGCCTAATTATTGTTATTTTTATATTTTAAAAAGTAATACAGGGACTTCCCTGGCGGTCCAGTGGTTAAGACTCTGCACTTCCAAGGCAGGCGGTGCAGGTTCCATCCCTGGTCGGGGAACTAAGATCCCACGTGCCACATCCCACATGCGGCGCAGCCAAAAACTAAAAATAAATAAATAAATAAATAAAATTATTTTAAAAAGTAATACAGACCTGTGGTAAATTTACCCAAGAGAAATGAAAATATATGTTCACACAAAAACCTGCACACAAACATTTATAGCAGCTTTATTCATAATTGCCAAAAACTGGAAATAACTCAAAAATTCTTTAACTGGTAAATGGATAAACTGTGATATATCCATGTAGTAGAATACTACCCAGCCATAAAAAGGAATGAACTATTGATAAACACAACATGGATGACTGTCAAATGCATATTGCTAACTTAAGTAAGGGAAGCTAGAGACAAAAGGTTGCGTATTATATTATTCCATTAATACGACATTCTGGAAAAGGAAAACTGTAGGAGAGAACAAATCAATAGCTGCCAGAGGATGAAATGGGGGGAGAGCTGGCCACAAAGAGACAGAAAGAGGGAATATTGGAGAATGACGGCACTATTTTGGATTGTGATAGTTACATGAATATTTGTCAAAACTCATAGAACAGTACGCCAGGAAGTGAATTTTACTATATAAATTTCTTAAATAAATGCATAAAAGTAAAAGTAAAGTAACAGGCCCATGGTAAGTTCAAACAATACAAGGAATTCAGTAAAATGTCTCCCTCCTAGCTCTTTATGGTGATAGAATAGTTCTGCATTTTGATTTCAGCAATGATTATATAAATCTATACATGTAGTAAAATGAGACAAAACTATACACACACATTATACCAGTGCCAATTCCCTGCTTTTGGCATTGTACAATATAGGCCTGCTCCCCAGAGGTGAACACTATTACAAATTTCTTGTGTATCCTCTGCATATTAAATCTAATATTTTATATATGTATACATGTACATATACATTTATACTTACATACTTTTAATACAAACAGTAGCATATTACACACACTGTTCTGCACCTTGATATTTTGCAGCTATTACTTTGGAGGTATTTCCATATCACAAACACATGGATCCACATAATTATTTTTTTCTGCTGCATAGTATTCCATCGCACAGGGGTATAATAACTTAATTCAACAGTTTCTTATTAATGGATATTTGGATCTTAACAAGGAATTTAACCTAAGAATTTGTAAGTTTTTAAAACATGAAAGGTCAGCTGGAGTTGAGACCAAACACAGATTCAGGACTCGTCTCCAGAATATCTTTTGACCAGAAGGGGGAATGCAAGAGGCAGGAGGAGAGGCGAAATGCTGGGAAATTTCCCTGGCCAATGGTGAAGTGGCAGGACCAGATGGGAAATTCTGCCCGGTTGGAGTTCGCTGAGGGGCGCCCTACTGCTGGAATAGGAGGCCGTGCTTCAAGACAAGCCTTCCTGAGGCTGCAACTCTGCCGTACCCAAGTGCGTCGGGGTCACGCACCGTGCAGTGATGCGTGACCATCTCCAGCCTCCCGCCGGGACCCACTGCCCGGGCAGGGTCTGAACCCCCACCGCCTCCAGCTCACGCGCGCAGGGGTGCGTACACGTGGTGACCTGCCTGGGGCTGGGTTCCCGGCTCCGGCTCCTCCTCCCTCCAGCTCTTGTTAGGCTTTCTGCAGTATCACGTGCAGCCGCGCCGGGTGCAGGATGGCGGCTGCGGCAGCAGCGGTGGGTGTCAGGCTCCGAGACTGCTGCAGCAGGGGCGCTGTGCTCCTGCTCTTCTTTTCCCTGTCCCCTCGGCCCCCGACCGCCGCCGCCTGGCTGCTGGGCCTGCGGCCCGAGGACACCGCTGGAGGCCGCGTGTCCCTGGAGGGGGGCACCCTGCGCGCCGCCGAAGGCACCAGCTTCCTCCTGCGCGTCTACTTCCAGCCCGGGCCCGCGGCGCCCGTGGAGCCGGTGCCCACACCCCCACTTTCCCCAGGGGAGAACGGCACCGGCGACTGGGCTCCACGGCTCGTGTTTATCGAGGAGCCTCCGGGCGGGAGCGGCGCGGCGCCCAGCGCTGTTCCCACGCGCCCCCCGGGGTCGCAGCGCTGCCGCGAGCAGAGCGACTGGGCATCGGACGTGGAGGTCCTGGGGCCCCTGCGCCCCGGAGGCGTGGCGGGCTCAGCTCTAGTCCAGGTGCGGGTGCGGGAACTGCGTAAGGGCGAGGCAGAGCGAGGCGGCACGAGCGGTGGCGGGAAGCTCTTCTCTCTGTGCGCCTGGGACGGGCGCGCCTGGCACCACCACGGCGCCGCCGGCGGCTTCCTGCTGCGCGTACGCCCGCGGCTTTATGGCCCGGGCGGGGACCTGCTGCCCCCCGCGTGGCTGCGGGCGCTCGGAGCGTTCCTGCTGCTCGCCCTGTCTGCCCTGTTTAGCGGCCTGCGCCTGAGCCTGCTCTCGCTGGACCCGGTGGAGTTACGGGTGCTGCGGAACAGCGGCTCGGCCGCCGAGCAGGAGCAGGCGCGCCGAGTGCAGGCCGTGCGCGGCAGGGGCACCCATCTGCTCTGCACCCTGCTCCTGGGCCAAGCCGGAGCCAACGCGGCCCTAGCAGGCTGGCTGTGCGCCTCGCTGCCGCCGGGCGTCGGGGACACCGGGGAAGACTACGGCGACGCGGGGACTCACTTCCCCTGGCTGCCGGCGCTCGTGTGCACCGGCGCCGTGTTCCTGGGCGCAGAGATCTGCCCCTACTCGGTGTGTTCGCGGCACGGGCTGGCCATCGCCTCCCACAGCGTGTGCCTGACCCGGCTCCTGATGGCGGCCGCTTTCCCCGTGTGCTACCCGCTGAGCCGCCTGCTGGACTGGGCGCTGCGCCAGGAGATCAGCACCTTCTACACGCGGGAGAAGCTGCTGGAGACGCTGCGGGCCGCGGATCCTTACAGCGACCTGGTGAAAGAGGAGCTCAACATTATCCAGGGCGCCCTGGAGCTGCGCACCAAGGTGGTGGAAGAGGTGCTGACCCCTCTTGGGGACTGCTTCATGCTGCGCTCCGACGCTGTGCTGGATTTCGCCACTGTCTCCGAGATCCTGCGCAGCGGCTACACTCGCATCCCCGTGTACGAGGGCGACCAGCGGCACAACATTGTGGACATTCTGTTTGTCAAGGACTTGGCCTTCGTGGACCCCGACGACTGCACGCCGCTTCTCACGGTCACCCGCTTCTACAACCGGCCCCTGCACTGCGTTTTCAATGATACCCGGCTGGACACGGTGCTGGAGGAGTTTAAGAAGGGTGAGCATGTGGTCTAATCTCCTCCCTCAACTCCTACCCCCTTAAAAAGTATTACCCTCTCATAAACACATGAGGCTTCAGGTACCCAAAGCAGCTTCTCTCCTGTGGTACCAAAAACTCAAGGAAGGCCCTACCTCATGGCTCCCTGGGTCTTTTCATTTCACTTCTCCCTACCTTCCTTGAGGCTGATTGAGTCCCTGCCTCTTCCCGTTTACTTGGCTCACAGGATGCACTGCATTCCTCATTCATTGCATTCCAGTATTTTTTCAGGGCCTACCAGTTGCCGGGTATTGTGCGGATAGGACTCAGGAGATAGCCCTTGGAGGGCACTGCATAGCTCCCCATTGCAGGAGGTACCTCTAAGGGTTCCCATAACAAGCAGTCTTTGCTTCCTCTCTAGGTAGGAAGCTCACCATTTCCAATTCCAGGGCAAACTCCATTGCTGGACAGCTCCAGCTGCTGAAAATGTATTTCCTACAAGGAGCAGAAATTTATGTCTCCAGAACTTCTCTGTGGGCCCTAGTTCTGCCCTTTGAATCACATAGAGTAAGCCCCAGACACCTTAGCCATTCTTCCCCCATATTCATCTTTCCATCAGCTATGCCTTGGACACACATCAAGTACCCAGGTTGGAGATTAAAAGTTGACTAAGGCAGTGAGGTCCTTGTACTTCTGGGAACTCTGGTCCCATGAAGTAAGGTAGATCTAGACCTGAGGAAATATTCTGGTAAAGGGAATCACTAAAAAACCTGCATATCCAAATGAATGGGGTTTCCTTCAGAGCGGTCACATCCTCTGCCCTTGACGTCATGCCTATAACATGTTTACTCCATTTCTGGGGTTTGCCTTTGGAAACTGTCTTCTGAGGTTGAGAACAATTCACTCCAGAAAAATCAGCCTGAATACTTTAGGGTTGATCCTCTTGACATTACACAGTGTGACTGGTCCCCCTATTAACCAGAGTTGACCCAGAAGGACCCTTGGTTGTTTTTGAAAATCAAATCTACCTTCCAGAGTCACAGTTGAGAGTGTTCAGAAAACTATCTCACAGACCCTGAAAGCAATTCCAGAAATGATTTGAGAACAGTGACATGGTTAGAATAAGTGTAGAACCTCCCAGAATAACTATTTTGAAAGAGGCATTCATCTGTACTTATGAGTTGGCATGTTTATTGAAAGCAAAACAAAGCAAATAATTAATCCCCTGAGTTTAGAATCAGGTTTCAAATGTAGCTTCCCTGTGGCTAGCAGGAATCTCATTTGACTATGTGTTTTTGATACATTTCTTTGTTTGTCAAAAATTCAATCTCATTATCAGCACAGGTACTCTTTGTATATAAAGACTTTGCATACAGAGAGAAATCTGGGGTCTTCCTCCTGCCACAATATTTTAAGACAAGTGAAATTGTGTTAAATATCAAAAAGTAACCTGAGAAAGGGGAAAAAGTCAAAAAGCTACTTTCAATCTCTCAGATTTGGAGAGAGAACAGCCCTATGCTTTGTATTGATATCATGAGAAGGGGAAGGAAATGTATATATACTGCAGCTGTTTTAGCCCAGTCTGGCTACTGTCTCACCCTCTTCTGTCTGTCTCCCCCCAGTCCTTCCATGACTCATTCCCATTGCATTCAGAGGTTCATCCATACACCTTTAGCATTTTTCTTAACATTTTGTGTACCCTACAGAAGGGAGTCTTGGTTCTGGGCATAAAAGCTATGAAAATCTATATTAGTTTGCTAGGGTTGCCATAACAAAATACCATAGACTGAGTGGCTTAAACAACAGAAATTTCTTTTCTCACAGTTCTGGAGGCTGAAGGTCCAAGACCAAGGTGTTGGCCGGTTTGGTTTCTTCTGAGGCCACTCTCCTTGGCTTGCAGATGGCTCTGCCTTCTTGCTGTGTCCTTACATGGTTGCCCCTCAGTGTGTGTGTGCTCAGCCCTGGAGTCTCTCTGTATTTGAATCTCTTCTTATAAGGACACCAGTCAGATTGGATTAAGGCTCACCCTTTTTAATTTAACCACCTCTTACGCGTGACAGCTGAGATAGAGTTCACTGTCACGCGCTGCCAGACAAGATTTTTTTTTTATTGAGGTATAGTTGATGTACAATATTATATAAGTTTTAGGTGTACAACCTAGTGATTCACAGTTTTTAAGGGTTACATTCCATTTATAGTTATTGTAAAATATTGGCTATATTTCTTGTGTTGTACTATATATGCTTGTAGCTTATTTTATACATAGTAGTTTGTACCTCTTAGTCCCCTACCCCTATTGGGCCCCCTCCCCCTTCCCTCTCCCCACTGGTAACCACCAGTTTGTTCTCCATACCTGTGAGTCTGTTTCTTTTTGTTATATTCACTAGTTTGTTTTATTTTTTAGATTCCACATATAAGTGATATACAGCATTTGTTTTTCTCTGCCAGACAACATTTTTAATGAAATTTCTGGGAACTCATTCATTTAGTACTTACGGGCTTCTATATAGTGCTAAGCAACAGGGGAAACAATAAGACTGCCCTGAGAAAATTAACAGTCTACAAGGGTGGACAGTGTTAGAATAAAGGCAGTCTTCTGAAGCAGAAATTGTGTCTTACTAACCTCTGTATCTCCAGCACCTTGCACTGTGCCTCCCATGTAGTAGGCTGCTGGAAAAAGTCACTATTTATCAGAAATGAGTCCTGTTGTAGAATATCTAAATCTGGTCTAAAAAAAGGCATGGTAGAAAAGCACGGTAGGGCTTCCCTGGTGGCGCAGTGGTTGAGAGTCCGCCTGCCGATGCAGGGGACGCGGGTTCGTGCCCCGGTCCGGGAAGATCCCACATGCCGCGGAGCGGCTGGGCCCGTGAGCCATGGCCGCTGAGCCTGCGCGTCCGGAGCCTGTGCTCCGCAGCGGGAGAGGCCACAGCAGTGAGAGGCCCGCGTACCGCAAAAAAAAAAAAAAAAAAAAGGCACGGTAATGTTCTGTCAGTAAGTGGTTAGTTTGCAATTAGGTAGATCCCTAAAGAGAAGCAGGCCATTACATCACCCCAAGAGATTTCCATGCCCCTGTAGAGCCTTGCTCTTTCCTCGAAGTGTGGTCCATGAGCCAGCAGCATGGGCCTCACTTGGGACCTTTTTAGAAATGCATATTTTCATGCCTCACTCTAAATCCACTGAATAAAAATCTGCATTTTAGCAAGCCCTCAAGTGACTCATGTGTACATTAAATTTTCAGAAGCATTGTCTTCAGAGAACCTTATTAACAATGATTCGTAGATTAACTTAGAATAGAATAAATACAAGGTATAATTATCAAGGTAGGTGTTCTCTGGCTCCGAGCCATATAATACGGTGGTCATTTTCTATAAGAGTTACGTTTGCATCATAGGTTAGGAGAGGAAAGCTGAGTTGAATTACTTTTCTTTACCTTTAAAAATAACGTTTTAAGCAAGTCATAATAGCCCTTCCATTTCCCTCACTTCCTTGCACTTCAAGTAACTTAACCACCTAAACAAACCCCTTAGGAGGTAGGAGAGGAAAATAGTAATTTTAATAGGAACAACGGTTACCATTAATTGAGCAACAGCCCTGCCAGGCCCAGTGCCAAGCCCTTGACATACTCAGAACAACCCACCTGGGGAGGTATTATTACCTCCATTTTACAGATGAAGAAACTAACTCTCAGGTTGATTACATGACTTGCTCAACTTTCCACAGCTAATAACTGACTGAACTGTGATTTGAACCAGATCACAGGACCCCAAAGCCTGTTCTTATTCCATCTCCCATCCCAAAATTCCTGCCACCCAAACGGTTCAAAGCTGTCTTTTCACCTCTGACTTGCTGCCCATGACTTGCTACCCTTGAGTTTCTGCAGGTTGGAAATGTAGCTTTTTATAATTACAATAATTGCTAACATGCATATTGCATTTTACAAAACATTTCTACTTACCTCTCTTATTCTTAAAACAACTCTGCAGGTATAGGTGAGGACCATAAGAACATAAGAAGCGTTTCTTGTACTGCCTAAAATCATCACTCACCTGGTCTATTCCAAGGCCCAGATTCAAGTCCCAGTCTCGTGATTCCAAAGCTCTTATCCATATGGGATTTTATACATATATATTTCTTATGAGCTCCAGGTCTTTAGAAGTAAGGGAAAAGGAAAGCAAGCATGCTAGCTTTACAAAAAGGAACAATATTTCTCCCCACCTGACTGTGAGTTCCTTGAGGGCAGAGAATGAATCTTACTTACTTTGTATACTCAGGACAAACACAGTGACCTTGAAGGCTAGAGGATGAATAAATATTTATTGAACAAGTGATCTTAAATAGCTGATTTCAGTTGTATTTCTATGTTTGAGTGAGGTGAACCTTAAGTACAGGATAATTAGTGTTGTTCCATTGACCATAATCAATCTTCCTCTTCCCAGTTTATCTACCCAATTAGTGGCACACCTGTGCCCCCAGTCTACCAAGGGAGAAACCTCTCCTTCACTCCCCACCCTCATCCTACTAATCACTGTCTTAGTCTTTTCCGGCTGCCACAACAAAATATCAGACTGAATGGCTTAAACAACAGAAATTTATTTTCTCACTGTTCCAGAGGCTAGAAGTCCAAGATCAAGATTCCAGCTGATTTGGTTTCTGATGAGACCTCTCTTACTGGCTTGCAGACAGCTAGCTACCTTCTCACTGTGTCCTCATGTGGCCTTTCCTTAGTGCACAAGCACAGAGAGAGAGAGAGAAACAGCTCCGGTCTCTCTTCTTATAAAACTACCAATCCTTTTGGATTAGGGCCCCACCCTTGTTATCTCATTTAATCTTAGAGGGCCACTGGGGATTAGGGCTTCAACATATCAATTTGGAGAGGGGAAGGGACACAAATTTTCAGTCCGTAATAATCTCCAAAGTCGGCCAAATATTTGGAACAAAGTCTGCAAAAAATTTGCCAATATTGCATATTTCTTGTACCGTTACATAACTTAGGCTGCTATTTCTTCCACTTAGGTTATTCA